GTGCAGGAGGCAACCAATTGATGGGTCTCTCTCACATCAATGTCTCTCTCCCCCCATCCCTCCCATTTACCAAACCTCAGCTTTTGGACACAGCCACTGTGTTTCCCCCATCTGTTTGTGTGCATTCTTGTCCAGCTGTCAATGAAACACAGCTCTTGTCCGCAGGTCACAATATTTTCCTGTGACTCTCATTCCACCATTCTTCCAGAAAAACATCTGCTGTTGCTGTCTTGACACCAATTGTCTACTCAGGGTTTGGCTTGCTGCTGACTCTGATAAGCTCCTCTAAGCTTTCCCACCCCGCAGGCTCAGATCCCTGGGGAGCTTTATGACTGCCTTCCCTAGCCCTTTCCTCAGTCATCTTTTTCCTTCCTAAGTCTCCATTGTTCTCTTTATTATTAAATATCATCCTCTTCACATTTTCTTTCTCTTCTTCCATTGTAAACATTTTTACTTCACCTCACTTAAGTCTCTTGTGGGTGGGTATTGCAATTTTCACTTNTTGTCAAACGTTAAGTGTCTTTATCTAGGGGCTGGGTACAAAGTTCTGTTCAGGTTTCTGAACATTTGAAAATGTCCTTAATAGAATGTTAAGGAAAACTAATCCAATAAATGGAATATTTTTTAAGGTTGCATTTTTGACTGAGGATATTACTTATCCCTTATTAGTTTCTCGATAAATAATCCATTGATTTTTCCTTATATTAAAGAAAAATACTCTAGACTTAGCAGGGCGATCACTTCATAAGTTATATAAATACCTAATCACTATGCTACACACCTAGAAGTATAAAATATTGTATGCCAACTGTAATTGAAAATTAAAGAAAATTAAAATATCCTCATAAGAATAAGGTGGCCCTAAGTAAATTTCAGTCAAGGGATAAATAGTCCTCTACCGCCCCCTATAGGCCATGGTCGGTGCTCCACGTACAACTTCAAAGTGTGAAGCCAGAGCTACCGCAGCAGCAAACCGGTGGGAGCCCGCATTCCCGATAGTCACTCGGGAGATGTTACAGATATTTAAGGAATCAGTTTCTTGCTTTGTGAACTCCAGGCTACATCAGGTCACATGTCTTCAAGCTGAAACCAAAAGAACCTGGAAATTGAACTTTAAGACTAGAAGAGCTCAGCGGGGAGGGGCTCACCGGCTGAGCGTCGACCTAGGCTCCAGGCGATCGGGTTGGATTCCCCGTCAGGGCACATGCCCCCGGGCGGGCTCTATCCCCAGTCGGGGGCGTGCAGCAGGCAGCCAATCAATGACTCTCATCACTGATGTTTCTCTCTCTTCCCCTCTCCCTTCCTCCCTCTGAAATCAATAAAGACATATTAAAAAACTAGAAGAAGATGCAGTATACGCTCACCTTCCGTTTTGCCTCGGGGAAGGCGGGGGCCCGGGAAGAGGCCGCCAACCCAGCGCGGGAGCGCTCCCGCTGAAGCTGTCACCCAGGTTCCTGGCGCATTTGCTGCAGTTCGCTGTGACTTTTCATTGACAGTAGAAACCCATCTTGAAACAATTAGAAAGTCCTCATGTAGATGCAAATTAAAGAAAATGAGCACGGCTTTACCCAAGATGAATTATTTCCGTGGCTGAAACAAGAACTGGCAGAGAACGTACTCAAGTGGCAAGAACGAGAAAATGAAGTTTCCTCTGAATAAACAGGATTTATATCACCTGCTTTACCTTTTACTTCTAAAGCTCATGTCCAAACTGTTAACGGCCACACGAGTCGGCCGTTTTTGCGGAACTACGTGTAGCTACGTGACGCCCGCCTCCCGCCGATGGCGGCCCCGGTTTCAGGCTCGCTGGGCGCCCCTGCGCTGAAACGCTCGGACACCGCGTTCACTAAGGCCTAGGCTGTCCTTTGTTTTCGTGTGTTTTCATTCCACTTTTCAATAAAACTCATTAAGATTAACAAAGAAGTGTGACGGTGGCAGGCCCTCGTCGCTGGAGCCCGCGGACGCGCTTTCCCTCCCTCGGGTCGCTCCGGAGCCAGGAGGCCGGGACCCTTCCCGAGCGCCCTCGGACCTGACATCCGGGCCCGCTGTCCGCCCCCTTGCGGTCGCTAGAGGGCGCTGTGGGCCAGGCTAAGGCGACCCCGGGGAGCGGTGCAGCCGGAGTCCTTCCGGTGCAGGCTGAGCCGATTACAGCCCCTCTCCCGCGGCCTGCAGCCGAAGTCTCCGAACAGGGGACAAGAACAATTGCCTCAGAATCCCGAAAACTAAACAATAGGCCCCTCGCCACGCTGGGCTCAGCGGCACCTCCG